GGGTTGCGATCCGGTGCCGGACACGACAAAAAAAGGAAAAAATAAATAAATAAATAAAAAATGACTACTCTGGTAAAAACAAACAAAGAACAACCCCCCAAAACAAAACTATCACATGTATTGCTTTATGGATGCTTCTAAAAAAAGTAGTCATAAAAGTACTAGATGGCTTCTACCAAATATTGGAATTATTATTCAATAAGGAAAAAAATTCCATCTGTACACAGCATTTCAACAGAGAACTTAAACATTAAATAGTACTTTTTATTTAAACATTTATAAGGCAAATCTATGAGAATGATATAAAAACATGGCATGTAATTTGATGGCAATATTTTGGAGATTACAGAGTTTTAGCAAATATCAGTTACACAGTAATGAAGACAATATTTTCCAAGTAGATACAAAATATCTAATGAAAGATCAAGGCAAGAAAATGAGTATAATTAAGAATGGAAAAATTAATTTTAATGTGAATTGCACATTACCCTTTAAAAGCTTTTAAAGGTAAGAATTATTGCAGTCTATTTTATTCAAACAGTATTAAACAGTCTCATGACAAAGAAGTGAAGGCCAGAAAAGATTGGTTTTTGACTTCATATGACAAAGAAACCCAAATTCGCAATTGTTTAACTGCAGGAAAAAGCAGTGGAAGTAGTGAAGTAGTCAGAGTCTTTGCAGTCTCTAATCTGCCTTCCTTGGGATGTGGCCTTGATCATCTGGGGCAGTTGCCAGGGCTCCCATTATATCCACAATCCCGGCAGCAAGATGGAGGGAGGACAAAGAACACATATTGCATTCCTTTGAGGAGACTTCATCTCACTGGCCAGCAGTCAGGCACACAGACACTTAACTGCAAGGACAGTTGAGGAATGTGACAAACAGCAGCTTTTAAAGAAGTAGGGTAAATAGACATTGGGAGACAACTTCCAGTGTCTGTTCAAGCTGGATATCTGCCGAGCTAGGAAAGACCTTTATAGAAAATCTTCAGCGAATACTTTCTTGAAGTTGGCATGTAGAAATCATACAAAAGCATCTGCTTTTGTGATTTAATTTAGCCCATCTAGCCATTGGGAGAATACATATAATTCACCTTAATTTTGGATGAATGCACAATGAAAATTCAATAATTTAGAAAGTAAAAAAATAAAATATCAGTATGTATGGTGTCAGGCTAAACAAAACATTTTTTAGTATCATATGAACAGATTCTCCGAAAATTAAGCACTTTATAATTTTCTCACACTAACCTAATCATTCCTATAAAATTCACTGTTCAATTGTAAGAACAGATTGTTTCCACTATAAAATTATTAGAGTTTCCTTTAGAGCTAATTACATATACTGAATATACATCAGAATTTGTTTTACTGACTTATGAACAATCTCATTTCCATGACAACACATCACAAATATAAATCTTAACACTGGACAGAAGTGTGTTATACTATGTGTAGCACTGCTTTAAGTTGTGAATTTACAAAATAATTCAACATTTTAGACTGTGTACTTATTTCAAAACAGGGATTTTAAGGGCTGGCCATTAACTCAGTTGGATAGAGCATGGTGTTGATAACACCAAGTTCCAGGGTTAGGTCCCTGACTGAACCAGCCAACCAGCAAAAAAAAACAAAAAAACAAAAAAACAACCACAGAGGGATTTTTATAGACTGATGCAAGTATTATTAGTTCAGTGTTTACAGTATTCCTAAAGAAATATTTATGAATTACATTTATGGTATTTTTATTTAAAATCACATAAGAAAACTTAAATTTCATAAATAAACCTCTTTGGGGGGGAAACTGTACAGAATTTATGATGAAGTAATTTAATAGCAAATGGCAATTAAAAAGAATTAAGGTTTTATTATATTACATAAGAGATGATTAATACAAAAATTAGATATATTTTTAAAGCCCTTTTACACAAATAATTTCCATAATTTGACTGTAATGTAAGTATGAATATATACCTTAATGTTACTATTATCAAATTAATTTTGAGAGTAAATTACTTAATCAAGTCAAGGTTATGCTGATTTATAAGAAATTAATCAGGTAGTATAACACTAGAGCTCATAGCCAACCCTATATGTAGCACAAAATAATTATCTCTGATAAATACCTATAAATATAATTTATGCATACTTTTAATATTTTAAAATTTAAATAAAAATCTCACACATAGACCATCTGGGTTAAATTTCCATGTATGTTTTGAAAAATAAATGTTAGTATGAATATATTCATATTTAAACATGATTTTAAATATTCTTGATAGAGGAGACATATGAAATCTGTACACAAAAGCTAAGTAGCATGATGCAGCTCGCAGTTATTTTCCTCAGAGGAAAAAAATTACTTCAATTTTTTTTTTTTTTGCATAGGATTAAAACTGGGTATATTTTCTACATTCGTATAATTTTCTCAGGGGCACTTCTCACAACATAGATCAGGAAACTAGTCTCCACTGCTCTACACTTCCCACCACCACTTTCTCCCATGTAGCAACAGCAGAATTCAATTCTACTTCTGAGGCCAGAAGAATGGTTCAGAAAAATAATGCTTATGAAACATTATGATTAAGAAAAATAATCACATAAAAATAATTAAATAAAGCAATTAAAAGTCAATTAACAGTTTTGTATTTTTAGGAAGGCTTTAAAATATTTAGAATTATAATGAATATATTATATTTATTCTAAAAGTTCAAAATTAGTCCATTTTTGTAGTACTGAAAAGGAGATGTTACCATTTGAACCAACAATTGCATTTTTTATACATTCTCATAAAAGTTTGGTTTTTCATATTTTCAAAGGCCCCATTAATCTGTAATAGTGATAATTTTTATTATTGGCTATTTAATATATACTTGTACATGCAACAACATACTTCAATCGCCATCTAACGTTTAGAAATATTTCATTGTATTTTCACATTAAATGGTTAAAGAATGGTCTTAAGAGAGTGAAATTTAAGGAACAAGAAAGTATTGAAAATATGCTGTTATTTTCACTAGTATGTTTAGGTATTTACCCCTAAAAGTTATCACCCAACTGAATTCCTACTAAGAACTAACAAGTGATTATCAAAAGAGAAGAAATATAATTAAAATAAAGAAAATGGAGACCTTGATTAAAAAGTACAAAATATTAAAAGTCACAAAGAGAACATCAGAAAATCATGAGTGATTTACCAAAGTGACAATGCAGTAGCAGGAAAAGAGCCATTGGTGGGAAAGGTAGCCTCCACTAAATAAAAGTCCTTTTATTTTTGGCAGCTGGATTCAGTAGTACCTCAGTGGGTAAGTTTAGAAGAGTTATGATTTCAGGAAGAGGAATTCAAATAATCGTATCTTGTCTGCAATTTCTATTTTAATAAAGAAAGAGAAAATGGGGAAAAGAAATGTACAGCGTTCTAACTAAGGTTGGAACAAAATGCAGTTTAAATGTAGAATGTCAGCAGTGAAAATTTTATGAATAATCTGTATGATTATATGTCTCTAAAGTAGATTTTTAATTAACCACTTATCCTAATATCCTTCATGCTTGTAAATTGCTCCCTAATGAATGGTTGTGTAAGCAGAAGGACTCAGGAAGAAAAAAAGAGATGACCAGCTCTACAGGGAATTTTTTAAGAAGATGAAGACCTCAGTAATTCATTATAGTGCTATGGTCCTCTCTCTTCTTGAGTCTTTCACTGCACAGGGAAGTGTATGGACTACAAAGGGTCTCCAGGCTTATGTCCGAGGCCACACCCGGGTAAGTAACTGTGGGTTGCCCCACAAACAATAATAAATTTATGATTGTAATATTTTCATGTATCTTTTTGACACAAAAAATGCACTCTAAAGAATGTCAATGCCTTTATACAAAAGAGGAAGCATCTAGGTTGACAATATGCACGGAGATGGAGCAGGGGCTATGTGGTGTAGTGATTAAAACCATGGCCTCTGGAATATGACTGCTTGGACTTGAATGGTCATTCTACCACTTACTAACTGTGTGACTTTGGGCAAATTACTTAACCTTTCTATACTTATCTGTAAAATGAGGATAATAACTACCCAACTCATGGAGGTTTTGTAAGTATTGAACAGGATAATACAAGTAAAGTGCTTAGAACTAGCCTGGCATGTTACAATCCCACAGTGAACATCAGTAAAATCCCATACCTTAGACAATGGTGACCAGCTATGGTGCAACCAACATAGATCAGCTCAAAAACAACTACTTGTGTGTAAACTCGACACCTTAGCTCTAGCTAGGAACAATTATACAATTCCCAGGATTGGTACTATATGGGAGATAGCAGTTTTGGAGACCAAATATTACTGAGTTCTCTCCCTGATTAACATAATATGAAAATGAAACTGCTATGTAACACAATAAAGAATAAAACCTTACATGAGGTATGCATTACCAGTATGTATTCCATGTCTCAATGATTTTAAATATAATTTCAGGTTTAATTTGTCTTTTTAATTTGTTTTTGTTCACATAATAATATTACTTCATACAATTAATTACATTCTTCAAATCCTATCTTATGAGAGAAATACAGGAATGTTACCATGCATCCTCACCTAATGTAATGTGTCCTTTCTTAAAAATAACATATGATTGATTATGCATTTCTATTTCTTAAGTTGGATAATAATTGAAACTGTATGTAAGCTTCAGGAAAAAATGTAAATCCATTGAATTATATTAAAAGATTAAAATTCTGCTGGTTTGCAAACATGTTATATCTATATTAACTATAAATATTTTTGCCTGATTATGAAATACAGTTAAAATAACAATAGTGTTACTGTTTTGCAAAACAAAACAAAATATACTTAAATTTTAACAATACATTGGCTACAAAAATTCATATTGGCAAAGTATGACATTTGTGAAAATTAACTTGAAGAAAATTCTATCACTAATTTGGCCAAAATCTCATTTAACAGGTTTCAACCCATAGTAATTTCACAGCACACTTGCAACTGAACATAGAGGAAGTCGTAAAAATAATGGCATGAGTATAACTTTATACGGCATCAGAAAACACCATTTATCATCACATTACTGTGACCCTCTCTGGAGAGAGATGAGGAATTGTTCCTCCAATACCCTCTTCTAGAAATTGGCTCTTTTCCCAGCCTTTTTTAATTCTTTTAAGCTTTCGGCTTATATATGGAAGGAGTAAAATGATCTTACCCAGAATTACAACTGAGGGCAAAACAAGAGCAAGAACAAAGTTTGGTGGTGTATAAAACCTGTAATACTCTTCTTCAAAGGCTCGTTTCCATCCATAAATTAAAACATGGAAAGTACTTATGAGCAGAGCGACATATCCAAGCGTGGACTTCGGGCAAGAGAGGAAGAAAAAAAAAACAAAGAATAAGTAATAAATTATTCAAAATCATAAATTAACCCATTTAGATATAACATGTTTATATTTTGATAAAAATATTTTGTCTTAAATTATTGAGCTACTCTGTCTTCTACTGAATTAAACAATTTTCAACATTTTCACATATTTTATATATATATTATTTACGTGCATACCTTATTTCACACATATAAGACCATATTGCATAGTTTAATATTCTGATTATTTCATTTATTACATCAAGGACATTTTCCTCATATCATGAACTATGAAAATATGATGTTAATACTGTATAATATTCTATGGACTGGATGTGCCTAATTTATTTAACCATTCCTTTTTGTTGATCATTTACTCTGTTTCCTAATAGTGGGACTACCGGTCAAAACATCTAGCTTTTCCTTAACGGTGTTGATATTGACTACTAAACTCCTCTTTATAAAGGTTATCCACATTTCCACCAGCTGTGTATAAAAAAGTGTGTAAATGTGTGTGTGCATCTGCATAAACACATATATGATAAAATCAAATGCTGAAGAGTACTCTCATGGGTGTACACACTCATGTATAAACACTAGTTAATAGGTAAATATGAAAAATCTTATAGAATTAATATATTATATAAACAGCAATTCAAATATGTGGCTTTACTGACCATATTAAATGAGATTATTAAGAATACTTCAGTTAGGCAGTTTACAGGTTAAATTCTAAAAGGTCACCATTCTTTGGTTTCTTAAATTAAGTTTAAGATGGCTTACTTTGAGAAATGGTCTATGTCACATAAATGTAATAGTATATTAGTATAATGATGTAATGTCTAGCTTCACTAGAAAAACAACTCTAGCAGGCAAAATGTTTGCAATTACTCATGTAAATTTATGATGATAATTTGAACCTGTCTAGCACCTTTTATCAGAGGGCCTTCTATTTCTTTTCAGGTGTGATCAAACTAGCAGTTGGGAAAGTATTCACATTCTCTTTCCTTTGAAAAGGAAAAATGTACTTAGGCAAGGGTTATGTAATTAATTTGAATGAGACTTTTACATGGCTTAAAAAAAAGTTCAAACAAATAGACAAAGAAACAAAACAAACTTGGTGTATCACTAATCCACATATTGTGCTATAAACCATTTGGATACAACCAATACAGATTTTGTGATAATATAGGTAGGGCTTAAGTTTGAGTTATGTATTTTTAAAATATGCAAAATTATGATATAATATTACTGCAGAAGGTGAATATTTAACTCTTAAAAAACACAATGGTATTTTGAAATCCCTTTACAGACACTCCTATACATTACATATGACTGAAATATTAAATACATATACTAACAAGATTCATAAGCCTGGCTGCTTGTCATAATCATTTACCTAGTTATCTAGTTTGATAGTGCTTGTGTTTGTATGAATGTGTATATATACACACACACATTTCTTTAAAACTATTTGGTCTTACCTTCTCCCCATTTGAATTCAATTAATGAGATTTTTCTGGACAGATCAAGATGACTCAAAATACAAAATTTTTCATTCATCTGGCTATAATAAATTGACTTTCAAAATTAAATTTGATCTAAGCTCAATCCTCTACCTTCATTTTTTTTCTTTTTAGAATAACCTTTATCATTAACATAGTATGCAGAGCTATCAAAGCCTTCCAGTACAATCAGTACTGCTCTTTCACTTACTAAATCAGTGTTCCGAAGTTGGCTTTCAGGAATAAGCGTTACCTAAGCTAGAAGCATGAATAGGGTCCCCCAGAACACTCTTTTTATAAGGTAGATATTAAAATTAAACTGTTGTTACCAATGAAATTTCATACTGTATAATTCTTCACCAAACAAAACCTCACATACCTGAATAAAACTGAATTCTCTCCAATTTAAAGCACTGCTCACTGAAGGGATAGAAGTGACTGCCAGGAGGGAAAGTAAGCCAAGGCTCATTATGCCAAAGGAGATATACATTTCAATTCTCCAAACTTCTTCCTCATTCCAAGAGTTTTCAATATTTGCATGAACCTAACAAGAAACCAAATATGAATTTTCTTTATTTGGTAGAACATTAACTGATTCAGCAGAGTTCACTCTTGGCGTAAGAAGAACCAGGCCATACATGGACATATTTAAGTTGTACTAATTCAAGTTAACAAACCATTATGGAGAACCTATTACTGGATGGCATCATTCTGGGTGTAAGGGAAAGAGAAGGGAGAGTTAAACAAAAAGAGGACTAAGTCTCTCTCCTTCGTTGCATACATGCAAGAAAAGAGGGACAAACCTATGCCGTCTCATTTGCAATACGTCACCATTACAGGGACTCCTGAGTTCAAGACTGTAAAATGCTGAAGGGCTGGTTCCAGAGTGACACACAAAAAGTACTGGGAGTGAGACTTAAGTTTTGAGGTCCTTTTGCAAGTTGGTTTAAACTTCGCTGAATTTGGGTACATTCTAGCCTTAGTTTAATTAGAATACTGGCAGGGAATTTTTAAACTACTCTATCCTCCTTCCTCATATGAATAATACATTTATGTTGATTTATCTCTTTCTTCTTACCTTGTCTTCCAAGAAGCTGGGATTTCCCTGAGGATAAAGCCCTAGGGAGCTCAAATATTTATTCACTTGAACTGCCTCATTAATATACTTTTCCAACTGTACAACTGCCTCATTCATATAACAGTATTTTTCCAAATGTCTTTACCTTACATTGATAATGCATATATAATGAAGTCAGACTTAATTAACTCTGAATTTGTGGTATTTTGCATAGAGAATACTTTTAGAATTTTCTGCTTACACACAAACAATATAATTAGAGTATAAATTAAGGATTAGATTGCTTCAGCTATTTTGATTTAAATAAATATCTATTTATGGAAAACAGGTTCTAACTTAACACCAGTTTAACTTTGTCCAGCTCCAGTTAACAAAAAATACTTGAAATTAAAAAAAAAACGCTACTTCTTAGCCACTAGTTCCCTGAAGCAATCACACTAGCATCCTGAAAGAGGCCATAGAGATCCTCTGATGATAAAGGCTCTTACTATCTTGTTTGATGTAACAACAATCACAACAATACAGAACAACGGCATACCCAAAGACTACAACCTGGATCTACCTGCCCTCCTAGTTCATTCATTTATCCCACAAAAATGCATTTTGAGTGTCTACTATGTGCAGGCACCATTCTAGGCATTGGGAATACAGTGAACACCACAGAGATCCCTCCTCTCATGAACTTATATTTTGATGGGAGAAAGCAGACAACAGTAAATATAATAAACAAGGAAAGTATAAAGTGTGTTAGAAGATGGTGAATGCTATTGAAAAGAGAAAAAGGAGAGTAGGGTAAGTAAAAGGAACTGGGAGTACTGGGGTTGGGTTGGGTTGGGGAAAGGTAGAAGAATTTACAATGGTTCCAAGGTAGGCCTTATTGTGGTGAGATCTGAGCAAATGATTGGAAAGAGGTGGGGGAGCTGGTTGAGCAGATATCAAAGCCTTAGTATCCAGTTAAAAGAAGTATTTTTAGGAAGTGAATGGTTTAAAGGACATCAACCTATTATTTTTTAAAAACTTATTTTAGGTTTACTGTTGAAACAAGTTTAAGTACTAAGTGCTATATACTTGGACCATGATGCCTTGGCTCCGTATAAAACACAAATACTTTTACACATTTGTTTTGGTGCAATGTCTTCAGCTTTCATTGGGAAATGCTATACCAAACGGCTTCAGTGAAACCTGTTATATTTCATTTGCAGAACGGGAATTACTGAGGAAAATCACAGTCTACCTCATCATTCAGCCCCTTCCATTAAGCTCTCCCTGAGATTCTCTTGGAGGGCTAAGTGCAAGAAAAGCTTCACTGGAGGAACTAGTATCTCTTTTGCTTTTTGATGATAATAGCCTAGTAAGTAACTGTCTCCTTTTTTATTATCAAAAATCTCAGAGTCAAAATAGAAGCTGTATAGATACTCTTAGCCAGCAGAGGTATATTCTACTTTTATCTCCTGGTCTTGATTTCCTATTCTGTTTTACATTTTCATTGGTTCTAATTTTATTTTATATGTTTACTGAGAGTTGCCTTATCATTTTGTGGGCCATGGCCAATTATAAAACTTTAAAATAATTAATTGCTACTGCTGAAAGCAATCACTGCAATGGTAACTTAAAAAAGGGAAAAACAAAACAAAACAAAACAAAAACACAATCCTTTACTTTTCTCCTTTTATTTTGCAAAGAAGGAGATGGTAGCAGCTTTTACCCTAAATGATTTTAAATTAGCCACATAATTCTTAGGCAAAAACATTGTTTAAAGAACAACTCTTTCCTCTCCCTAAATATACAAAAAGAGAATTTCTATTACAAGGTATGTAAAATTTTACACTATTTTAAACCTTATGTTTTATAATTTATACTAATAAAGTATTTCACTGGAGTCAGGTAAATAACAAGCAAGTTCAGTACCTGCTGATAAGCCATGTTGAGAAACAAGTATCTCTCTGACCTTCTCATTGGTAAGCAGAGGCTGTAGGCAACATGGACCACAGCAAAGAAAAAACTTAGTAATCCAAGCTGTTTTCTACACTGTAACCAGGTCTCCAACCAAGGTGGAAATCTCCTATACTTGGTGCCATAATAAAGCTGATATGCAGCTGCCAGGAGACCTGCTAGGTATACCAGGGACAGCAAAGTAATGGCAACTACAGGCAAGGTTTTATTCACGATCTCAATAGGAATCTTGTAAAAGTCACTCTGCTGGTTTCTTGCATATGGATGTATCACATCTCTGACAAAGGAATAAAGAAAGAAAAACGTGGCCAGGCTTATGGCTACCACCACTGGACCTCTCCAGAGAGTAAATAGTCGCAGGGGTAAATTTTCAATCTCCCTGGCTGATGATAATGATCCCAAGTCAACAGGAATGAAATTCAACTGACGGGCAAGTTCAATAACCTGTTGTCGAGCTTGAATATTGTTGCTGCATATATAAACCTGTGGGAAAAAACAAAAGGATTCATTGTTACTATTGTTGTTTTAATGATCACTTGCTCCACTTAATTTATGGAACATCACTTGCCTTGAGTGATGCAAATGATAAAAGTTAAAGTGATAATTTAATTTATAAACTGGTAATTAATGGATTCAAAGTAGTGTCATCAAAACAAAAAAGTCCTTGCCTCTTGTGATGACATATAAATAAAATACAGGAAAATCTAGCTACAACCTGGGATCTTCAGACGGGAGTCCTCAGGGGAAGGGAGACAGGTGGAAGGGTGTGCTGTTCTAGACCACGTGGTTCTGTAGCAACAGCAAGGTAAGCCCTCCCCTCCAGTGGCCTTGGTGGAGTTTGAGCTGCTGGACATGCCACTCTTCCCCTTCAGCTCTCTAACTCCCATAAGGAACAGGATGGGGCTGGCTCTCCGGGCTTTCACAGACAATATGTAGTTCTAGGACGGCAGTGATTCTGCCTAGTAGATTGTAAGCATTGCCCTTTACAATACTGAGCAAAAGCAAAGATGGGTACAGACTCTGGATGGTGGCATTTGCAATTAAAACCTCTAAATTATGTCATAATACTGTACTGTTAATAAAATTTAACTCTAGGCTTAGAAACCAATTCACTAAATATCTCTAAAAAACCATGGATAATCTCAGGTATATTATTTCATTGGTCAGTAGATGAAATTCTTTCATTTTTACATAATAATGACAAACCTGGCAAATAAAAAAATAATATTATAAGGCTTAATTAATTTAAATAGAAAAGCAAGTGCCATTTTCTAAGACTAAGATATTATCTTTATAGGAACTCTAATCATGTGATGGATAGAGGTGAGGATGGGCTTTCAAACTACCAAAACCTCTTAGATCCTGTTACAGTTGAAAATTCAACAAGTACTTTTTGAGCACCAAGTTCATTGCTGGAGTGAGCTGCTATTACTAACGGGTAAGTCATCTCACTTAGGGCTAGAAAAATATTGCTATTAAGTCTCTCCAAGTAATGTTTGGGGAAAACAAATTCCTAAAAATATCACTGAAAATATTTGTGTAAAGGCTCTGAAACAGACCACACTGAAATATTTGCAAGTTAAACCTATTTACATAATAGTGACAATGTAGAGCTTTGGATTATTAATCTCAGCTAACATTAGCCAGATGACAAATCCTAAACTATTACAGAAACATGCATAAACTTTTAAAATGAAGGTCTTTTTGTACCAAAGAAATAAGGAAAAGCATTCTAAATTAATTTATTACAGTTGTGACAAAGGTGGAGTAAACATTTCTTTTTTTTAAAACTCATTTGGGTAAAAATGTCTATAAACTATAAAATTTTATAATAAGCCTAAAAGTATAACTTAAACATTCAAAATTAGGGCATAAGAACTATGAAATACAAATTAAACTATTTCTGTAGCTCATTTTGAATTTAATCACTATTCCACAATTTTTTCCTGTTAAAAAACCAAATTTATCACAAATATGGGTAAAGGATTAAATTCGGGTCACTGGTCTTGGCTCTAATTTTCTTGGTCTACATCCATTGCTAAACTTTGGTAGATATGCAAAAGGAAAAAAAAAAAGGATTTAGAAATGGCTTCTAGGAAAGCATATATTCTTTTACTAGTCTTTAAAATAAAGACTTGACAGTGAATGGTTATCATGACTCTAATGTGCAGCATACAATGATATAATACTTAAATTTATTTTCTAAGGAATCTAACCAACTGTCTTTATGGACAAAAATAATAAAGGTATTTTGTCATCAGGATTAATTATAATGCATACACACACCTTTAAAAGATGTTTAAGGTGTATTATTTCACGTGTCACCTTATTTTTTCTTTTTTTTCCTTTTTGTCTTTTTTCGTGTCCGGCAACGGACCGCAACCCTCAGTGTCGCGCCCGTACCGGACCGGGACCAGCAACGGAATCGCAACCCTCGGTGCTGCGCCCGCCCCTCGCTCAGCCAGTGAGCGGGAACTGGTCTGTATGTGGGATCCGAACCCTCGACGGTGCGCTCCCAAGTGGCGCACCGCAGCAGTGCGCCACCGGGCCGGCCCATTCACGTGTCACCTTATAAAAGCTCTCACCCCACAAAGGCAGTGACAGAACTCCCCATCTGCTTTATTCTCAAATTGAACTAGATAAAGCACTACCCACAAACTCGTACACCAGAAGTGAACCTAAGAAATGCTGTCTGCTTCTACCTTTTAAGTGTAGATTAAAATCTAGTTAAAATAAAACAAACTGTACTAGATAAAATTCTGTGAATATTTTATCTATGTAAAATAAAAAGGTACTTCAAATATTCTTCTTGAGGATCATATTAAATAGTACTCCACCAAGAGATGGAATATTGTATCACCAAATAGCTGCAAGGAAGGAAGGGAGGGAAGAATGAAGGAAGGGTAGGAGGGAGGGAAAGAGGGAAAGGAAAAGGCCTGTTTATTACTGTTTCTATTTTTGAGCAAACCAGGACAGATTCAGTGCAATGTATCACATTACTGATCAGCCAACCTTGCCTTTTCTTTAATTAACTGGTTATGACAGAAAAGTCCAAGTTAATTTCTCAGCTTTCCACATCATTTTGGGAATAGAATGTGCCCTTACAAGGTCAGGACATTAATCTTCAGGTGCCTGTACATAGTTTTCAAAGTGATAATCAATGGAGAGTGTCGGAATGTGGTTTTTTAAATGTATGATACTTACTTAAATTGTTTAACTATGAAATATCAGATAAATAAGAATAAAATTCAAAAATACATACCTGTCGGCTGGCATCCTTAGGTCCTAGCTGAAGTGCCCAAGCTGAGACAACATTAAATCCTTTGACAATCAAGGAATCTGGGAATAATGAAGCTAAATATTCAGCATTGGATTCTGGGTATTGGTTTATCCTCATGTTATTGCTCACGTCAATCAGGATTTTACCCACAAGCAGATGTCTCAGGTCCCACAGGGAGGTGTAATGTTCTCTATGTATAGCAACAAATATTATATTTGTTTTCATTAGAGCATCTTCATGATGGGTGACATCTACTACATGAGGAAAAAATTCGGAAGCAAACTTGGGATTTCTACTTCCTATGACCACATGATAGCCACATCTGATAAGTCGAATGGTCAGGGATTTGGCAAAATCCCCACTTCCAATTACACCTATAGTGACCTTCCTTGCATCTTTGATACCATTTATGCCATTAGGCAAAAAATTTTCGCTAAGGCTCTTAGGGCTTCCCATCATAGAGATTGATTCCATGATACAGACTCTTTCGAGATCACCAGGAATATCCTAGAAGGGAGAAAATAAAATGTTCATCAATTACCTATTACCAAACATTAAAACACTTCCAGACACTGTAATAATGCCCTGAGTTTCTAGAGGTAAAATATTTTGGCATGCTGCATAATACAGAACACAGGAAGATACAATTTGTGAGCTAAAAAAAAGATCTCTAAATAGAAAAATTAACTGTTGCAAAGCTGATGTGCAAAACTGGAGCTTCTCAAATTTTAATGTGGACACAAATCACCTGGGAATCTTGTTATAATGTAGATTCTGATTCAGTAGTTCTGTAGAGAGGCCCAGGATTCTGCATTTCTAACAAAGGCGATGCTGCTGCTGTTGGTCCGTGAGCTCCTCTTTGAGCAGCAAGGCTCTAGAGCATAAAAGGAAAGAGACTGAAGTTTTCACCCAGAACTTCTTTTTAAAACTCATTTATAACAAGTGTGATTACCCAGTTTCTTGGCAGATCAGAGGCAGCTAATTTGAAATGCCCCTGGAGGCAGAGAGTACCGTGATACCAAAGGAGTAGCTCACACAGCAATAGAAGACAGAAAAACCACTAAAAAAAAAAAAAAAACCCACAAAGAAGCATTTAAACCAAACTGTTTATAGTCATTTTGGATGGAGTCTATAAACTGTCCTATATACCTCAGTAGATAGTGACTTTATTATTAAATGAGAGTAAGATAAATCTGCTAATTAAAAGGAACCCTGTCACTTAAATAATATTTTCAGAAAAATAGGCATCAAAATATAACAAAAGGTTAGTTAAATACCATAGACTTCTATCATTGACCCTATATCCTATAACTTATCATTGAGAAAGATAGCTTCCCTGTGGAAAAGGTTAGTAATGTGTTTATGGTCTTAAATTACACAGTACTTATGAAATCTTTTTCTTCCCCTTTTATTCAGTGGCTGCACAGACTATGATGCAGTTATTCTTCCTGGAAAAATTTATCAAGTTTTTATTTAAGTGACTAACATCTGAAATGTTCATATTTGTAATAAGTTACTCAAGATTACAAATCGGATGGCCATGAATCATTGTCACCGTTGGGTCTGAATGAAAGATACATTCCCATTCCATCTCCATTACACAATTTCTTTTATACTAACAGCAGATGTGGATCCCTTCAGAGGATTTAATGAATTTTACAAGCACAAGGGGAATGTTTCAAAAACATGTTTTTTTAGATTTTTACTAAATGAAATTTAAAATTACTGGAGGCAGGAAAATTCAACTTTTTACCCTAGACATGGGTCATATTTAATGACTCCAAATACATCAGTAAATTAAGTTTTAGAAAGACACTAATAATAGTAATATTACCTAATACTCATTTAGCACATACTATGTTTCAGCTGTCTTGTGCTTTACATATATTAACTGATTGAATCCCCACAACCACTCACAGATAACTGTTAATATTGTCATGCCCATTTTGCAGAACAGGAAAACTGAGACATGCAGAAGATAATTAATTTGTCCAAGGTAATAAGAGAGAAAGTGGGGGAGCCAGGATTATAACTCAGGCAGTCCAGCTAAGGCATGTGTCATTTGGATGAATGTAAGAAATTTAAGAAAGGGTTTTTTGGAAGGTATAAGGGGGTGAGGTGAAAGAGTTATGGTTGTACTAATATTAGTCTGTTATTCCTTTTTCTTTGGCTATTTCATTACTCCTCAGCATTACCTAGTGATCTTAATGTCTGAGATCTTAGATCTTGGGAAAGGAGAAAACTCATTATTTTAAAATTTATTACATGTTTCATTTCACACCTTTCAAGATAGAAGGGGTGTTAATTATCTGCTTTCCCTTGGAGCGGCTCCATGAACCCAGAAAGCAAGGTGGGGGTCAGAAGCACCAGGATAGTACAAAACCATCAACATCCTCTTGGAGATGGCTATCTTGGAAATCAGGAGCACTTAAAGGAACCAGAAGTAATGAAATCAATGCTCTTCTCATTAGAAAATTAAGGGTGAAGTGAAGTAACTAACTTACCTACTTCTAATTATATACACATTATCTAAGGGTGAAAAAGGTTACTACATTCACACACAGGAACCGTTTCCTATATCCCAGTCTTGAGTTCTTCTGCGTATATACCATAATATCTCCCAAAATAAAAGAACTGCAGAATCTTTAAATCTAACAATCATTATGATCAAGCCCTTTTCAAACTAAAAACAAAACGAAAACAAAACATTATCAGTTACCTGCTTTTTTTACAAAGCAAGTTCAAAACCCTTCTGTAAATCAGAATGTGAACAGGTAAAAATACATTAGGACCTAATAATGTCACCTATAAGCCCCTCACTATACCATGTATTTTATACATATTAATGGGTTACTCTGGTCTAACATGTTTGGGCCTTATTCATATAGTATTTCTAATGGCAAGTTCTAACTAAGCCCTTTAATAGTGTGGCTGTGGCTACAAATTGAAGTCAGTCTAATAAATGAGACTCTTTTTATTATAGTTTTAAGGAATGTAAAAGTATCCATGAGAGAGAGAAGGAAAATAAACTGCAAAACCTTCAATGGATCTGAAAGATGGAAAATTTTTTATTGCTGAAGATATATAATACCATATGCTTGTGTGCTATTTCATTGTTCATAGAGTGTTTTATATATAATATCTTTCTTAATTCTCAAATGGCTGTGAAGTACATACTATACCCATCTTAAAGAAGAGAAAATGGAGGCTCAGGGAACCTCAGTGATTTGCCTAAGACAGTCCAATTTGTAGTGACACAACCAAGATTCATATATAAATCTTCCAACCTATGCTCATTCTGAAACTGCAGTGCAAACATTATATAGGGAATCTTAACTCAAAACTGTTTAGCATCTTCAAATTTCATCCATAACTATGCTTTCTAAAAACAATACTAACTTTTAATAGCTAAAATACGAATCTCAGCTCAGGACAGTTTCAGATGAATACAAAGCTATATGCTTAAGAATTCTAGCTACAAAACAGATAAAATATGGTTGAAATAATTCTCATCTCGGATCAAAACCAACCAAAGATTTAAATTTATTAAGACTATTAAAAAAACCATGATTGGTTTCTGTGTAACTCTTAAAGAATTCTGGATAGCCACACGTGTGTCTTCTAAAGACTGCAAACACCGTGAAGGTATGTACTACTTTTAGAGGGGAGGAAAGAAGAAAGGGTCAAGAAATGTGTTCATATCCTGTGGGACTCACCCATACTCAGACCTAAGAGCAATACATCTCCCACAAGTTGTGGTGATGAGAGACACTGGAACAAAATCTCATCAATTTATAATTTGCTTAGCTAGTATTTTAGACCATTTGGTTAACAGCTGAGCTGAAGTTTACACATGTGCTATCCATGATAAATTGGGTTATAAAAAATGAATAATGTCAACATCTGAAGGAGGTTTACCTATGTACAAAAAAGAATATTAAAAACCTTACATTGCAGATTCCCATTGACGAGGAGTAATGCAACTATAATCTAAAAGCAGACCTACCCTGCTGTGGCCCAACATGAATTTATCCAAGCCACTGTGTACTTTGTATTTAACACATAAAGTACAAGGGAAGACATGGTGCTTACATTCAAGGAATTTATAACCTAGTTAGGAAGGAACCTTACACACTTACAATAAAAAGCAGGGAAAAAGGGCCAGCCCGGTGGCGCACTGCTACAGTGCGCCGCTTGGGAGTGTGGTGGCGCTCCCGCCGAGGGTTCGGATCCCACATACAGACTGGTTCCCGCTCACTGGCTGAGCGAGGTGCAGGCGCAGCAACGAGGTTTGCGATCCTGTTGCTGGTCCCGGTCCGGTACGGGTGCGACACTGAGGGGTGCGGTCCGTTGCCGGACACGAAAAAAGACAAAAAGGAAAAAAAAAAAAAAAGCAGGGAAAAAGGGCCAGCCCGGTGGCGCACTGCTACAGTGCGCCGCTTGGGAGTGTCGTGGCGCTCCCGCCGAGGGTTCGGATCCCACATACAGACTGGTTCCCGCTCACTGGCTGAGCGAGGTGCAGGCGCAGCAACGAGGTTTGCGATCCTGTTGCTGGTCCCGGTCCGGTACGGGTGCGACACTGAGGGGTGCGGTCCGTTGCCGGACACGAAAAAAGACAAAAAGGAAAAAAAAAAAAAAAAAGCAGGGAAAAAACCCCCTCATATCAGCATATAATTAAGAACTGGATTGTATGATCAAAATATAATAACCTCATGTTTACTGGCTAGCAAATACAAGTTTTTCTCTGTTGCAGTAATTCACTTGTAAATAAAGTCTGCTATGAAAGCCCTGGCATCTAGCCTGTACTCAAACCCATTTCTTTAATTTCAATCTAGAAGATCAGAGAAGAGAATATAGTGTTTGTTCCCTTAGCTCAAGTCATTCTTTCATATGTGTGTGTGTGTATACATATGTATATAGAGAGTGAGAGTAATAAAACTGTATTTACAAAATAATCTCTGATTCACATAGAACTTCCTTAAATCAATTAGATGACGGTGCACTACAAGTTCACTCTAGCTTAAAACTAGAAGGCCCTGATATAAATTTGGTTTTCTTTGACCTTAAAAGTGCCAGGGCACTGGTTCCCAAACAGCAATTAGAAAATACATGGATAGAATAGGGAGTTTTTCATAAAATTATTCAGCTCAAAGAATTGTCCTTTACTCTGAGAGTATGTCTCTTCTATTTTTTAGGGTCAAAATGTCCTTTCTTCGTAAAAGGATAGTGATAATAACAGTTGTTTGAGTTGGCAATCCTATATAGATCTCTTCCCTCCTATTTCACTGGTTTGTAAATTGACAAGTCTGAGGACTACTGCTTTGTAGACATTAGGAAGCTCTCCATGTGAAAGTGCTCCTTTAGCCTACTGGAGGGAAAACCTTTCCAGAGAGGGGAGGAAGACACGCTTGAGCAAGCCCCTGCAACTGGAGACACCTGCTTAATACTCAGAGAGTAGGGGCACATTATGAAGATGAAATATCAAATATTCCAATCGAATATT